ATTTCAAGCAACAGCCAATCACTTGAGAGAAAGGTAACAAAAAATAAATCGAGTAACGCGTAAGGAAACGGTGACATAAATTTTAAACAAATGAGCATATGATATAAGTCGTTTACAAACGAAACCGAGATAAGTTCACGAGGTCGGAAAGTAAATCTTACGGAAAGGTCACGAACACGAAAATGTTATCGAAATTAACTACAATTGGCTTCAGCGAGTTGGGCAAGTTTATAGAAGACATTAGAGGTAGTAATCAATATGAGAAAGAAAAGCATTAGGATAAAATTGAAAGCCCACCACCTGAAATAAATAGACTTAGCATCCAAGCACGCGGTTAGTAAATCGAATGCAGTGTACCTACAAACGCAGCGCCGAGTCTGCCTAAGTTCTCTGCAGGACCCGTCGTCGCTTCGGTAGTGGAACCAAGTGGCCTTGCTCATGGCTCACTAGGCCTACCTGACTCAGGCACTCTCGACCGCATGTGCTACAGCCCCATGAGCTCGATGTCGATGAAGCACAACCCATCGGTGCTTGCTGCTTCCACACTTACCGCTTTATCACTGAATGTATAAAGACTTTCTCCTGCACTTCAGCAACTGCCCTCGTGATCAGATGGCGCTTTGCACGCCAATCAACCGCCTTCGATTCCCATAACCTGCAGTCAAGATTAGATCGTGAGAGGCTCACTCTGATCATATCCTGGTAATGTAAGTTTGGTTTCCCCACATGCCGCTTCCCAATACTCAGCTGACCACACAATAGTTGTTTCGGTATCCGCGTTGAATCCATACGGCTCAAATGACCGAACCGCCTCAGGTGTCTCAGCAAAAGTATACAGTCCACTGCATACATCCCACTTTGTCGCAACGTTTCCGTATCAGCAAAACTGTCGCGCCATCCGATGCTCAGTATCCGTCGCAAACACTGTTGATGGAACCTCTCGAGATATCGCACATCCCGCTGGTACATCGTCCATGTTTCACTGCCTTATAGAAGAACGTACAGCAACATGGATTTGTATACCGTCAGGTTCGTGCGAATGGTAAGCTGATGCTTGTTACACACTCGGTACTCTAGTTTCCCGAATGCTGCCGCTGCCTTCGACACGCGGATAGGCAGCTCGCCGTGTAGCTGCTGACCAGTCGACATCACACTCCCAAGGGAACAGAAGCGTGACGTGGTTTCCAATACTTCAGCACCAACGTTGATTCGCAGCAATATTGAAGATTGCACCTTCGGTGAAGGCTGAATGAGACAGAGAGTTTTGCTTGTGTTGATGATGAGCCCGAATTTTGCCGCTGTCGAAGCCAGAGCACTAGTCATGTATTGCAACTCATCGGCGCTGTGTGAAAACGACACACAATCGTCAGCAAACAGCAACACACGGATAGTTGTCTCACAGACTAGAGTTCTCGCACCGAAACGACGGATGTTCAGCAACCCACCATCAATACGGTGCTCCACACGAACACCGTAAGCACAAGCGGCTTCAAAAGCACAAGACATCATGGCATGAAGATTTATATTAAACAAGGCAGGAGCTAAGAGACAGCGTTGCTTCACACCAGAGACAACTGCAAAGTCATCCGAGGTCTCTCCACTCAGCTGCACCCTCGCTCGCATACCACTGTGCAGACATTCAAGTAAACTTACAAACTTACGCGGGCAACCATACTCATCCAACACCAGCCACAATGCCTCGTGGTTCACCGTATCAAATGCCTTGGTGAAATCAACAAAAAGCGAGTACAACTGCTGGTGTCGTTCCCTGCACTTTTCCTGCAACTGACGAGCCGCAAACACCATATCTATAGTGCTGCGCCCCTAGCAGAATCCACACTGCTCTTCCGCCAAGTTAGGTTCCACAACCTGACTGACGAGGCGGTTGAGCAGGATTCGGGCAATCACCTTGCCCACACAACTCAGCAAGTTGATGCCACGATAATTCGTGCAACATTGCTTGCTTCCTTTGCCATTGTACAGTGGTAGCACAAGGGCATCCTTCAGCTCAGGAGGCACCTCCTCCTCAGTCCATACGCGTTGCACCAAGTGGTGCAGCGCAGTCAACAACGCGTGTCCGCCGTGTTTCAATACTTCAAGCAGGATCCCGTCGGCCCCGGCACACTTACCCTTACGCAGCTAGCAATTGCCATCTGCGTCTCATCCAGTGTCGGCTTGTCAGCCAGACTCGCCTTCACATCGTGATGCCTGAGACCGTTCAGTGTAGGTCAGTCGATCTCTGAACGATAGTTCAAGAGACAGTCGAAGTGTCTCCGCCAGATCTGCATTATGTCTGCAGTCTCTGTGCAGATAGCGCCTGAACTACCATAGACCAGTGGCTCCAATTTCGGGCCAAACACCGCCTTCAAGGAGTCAAAGAATTCTTTGTGTTGACGGCGTTCGGCATAGCATTCCACTTGCATCGCCTGCTCCGTCCACCATGCATTTTTAATGCGAGGGAGCACTTGGTTCATTCGCCGTCGAAGTTTGCGAAACTGACTACTCTTTCCCAAGTCACTGGGGTCGGCCACATGTGCAGCAAATGCTGCATTCTTCCCCGACACCAATGCGCCTATCGTCGCATTGTTCTCACCAAAGCAATCAGCACAGTTAAATTTTGTGCGCCCGATGGTCTCCTCGGAAGCAACTGTCACCTGGTCGCGAATGTAGTGCCACAAGTCGTCCACTATTGCTATGCAGTCCACATCACGCAGGCGTGCAGCCATCACCTTCTCCAGCTCAGTACCTTTCGCTCCAGTACCGAGGGAGAGAATGTTAAATTTACGCCGATTCACGGCGGGAGTGTAATACATAGATTTACGAAATTATATGTACAGTTTGGTCCCACCTACTTATGATCAGTGCCACACTCAGCTCCACTCAGTACACGTATCATGCGCATTTCCCGCATATCACGTTGACCTACGATGCTATAGTCGATCAAGTGAGCTTGCCCACTCCGTGGATACATCCAAGTTGCTATATCACTCGCACTCAGTGCAAACCGAGTGTTAATGATCGTCAGGCCGTGGGTGGCACACAGTGAGAGCAGCCTGTCACCGTTCACATTCTCTGAACCAATGCAATGCGGACCGATAAAATCTGTCCACACTGATACATCACACCCAACGCGTGCGCTGAAATCACCCAACACAGACCGTATCACGGAGGATAGCTGAGGGTAGTATTGATCAGGCGTGTCATCAGGATAGCATATCGTCAGACCGTACGTGCTTATAAAGGTGGCAACGTTACCTTTTCCGAGTTGTAGGCGAACAGTCATCAGTCGCGCTGATGCCAGTTGGTTCACCAACCAGCTGGCCATGGAGGCAATCGGATATTGCAAATCCGACCCCATGATCACGTGGTGCTGAGGCAGCGTTGCCCACCCAGTAGAATGTGTAGCCAGCACCTGTTTCATGCAACTTACCTTGCTCAGCGAGCCGAGTTTCACTGAGCGCCGCAATATCCTTGTGTTAGCACGCCAGTTCCATCGCGACTAGTGCAGTGTGTCGTCCCTGGGTCGCTCACTCGAGTTCCGGTCCAGTAGTGTGCGCACGTTCCAGCACCCGATGCTGAGTGCTTTGCGCGCAGGCATACGATTGCATTGGTGGACAATCGCACGCGAGGTGGCGGTTGTGATTCGGAGCTTTGCTTGAGGGACACCTCCGGAGCCATTGGCTCAATAGCCTGACCCACAAAGCAGTGGGAGCAGATCCAACTCGGGAATGTAATTGCAGAGACAGATTGGGATCTGTTTTACGACCAACACACGCAGACTTTGAGGTACTGGAACGATTATTATATGTTTCGTGATCGTAATAGGATACACCTGCGACCACGACCAGACGCAGGTGGGTTTTGGCGGGTTTGCACCAATTTGACGAGGGGCTGCCTGGCTTGAGGCGGGCAGTAGCAAACCAATGAACCCCCGGAGGTACCCTACCACCATCAGAGACAATGTGTGGCGCTCATGCTCTACGCCAATCGAGCTGTGAGCTTATAACCCGTGGACATGTTGTCTTCCATGGCTAGGTTTTACGGGAAGAGGGCCATCGATCACTTCCTAACCTCCAAAGAGGATGGACTAGGATACTGGCAGAAAGCTCACAACTGACAGGAGAACGATTCGGGTCCTCAGCTAAAGTCTTCGATTAAATGTACACCCGAAAGGCAGCGAGTCTAGCACATGGTCAGTTTACTGACTCCTACCGATTGGTGTCCTGGATCTTAGCATGGAGAAGGGCGTAACCCAACTCCCACCTAGCGGTCGCCACGAAGAGGTGTCCAGGACACGAGCGAATAGCAAAACAGTTTCAGCAGTGGGTCGATCACCTGTCCGGATCTAGCCACCACCAGCCTCAGCGCACCATAGTCTCTCCCGCTAATGACCATTGTACCTACAGCCAGACCTCCAAAATTGACCACCTATCTATGTTGACTGTATTTTTTCATTATATGTACGTCCACCATGGAAGGCTTATGGATCATCTCTCTGTGTTGACAACTTTGGTCCAGTCTTTGTGTGGTCAATGTACCGACGTTTTACTTTAAGTGGTGCTTAGAGCATGGGTGCCACGCTGCAATTCGCGGAGTTTGATGTAAATTAGTTTGGACTGGGGCCTTCGTTTAACCCTATTCATGTTTCTATTTATTCCTACGAACTAGTCTGATAAATTAATCCCGCGAAGTTCGATAGGCTTCCCAACTTTCAGAGGTTTAAGTAGCTTTGTGCGCTTACCAAGACGAATCACTCAAGGTTATCCGCACCCGCGTCCTACTCCATGTAAACAGTCTTCCATTTTGTGATCATCTTGAAGACATGGTCTTCCATACGATCACGACCATCTGATTCACATCCGCAGTGGCGGGATCGGACACGAAGAATGTATCATGAGCATCCCGAGCAGGATGTTGTCGTAGTTGGAAGAGGCTGTCGAAATTCCAAAAGCTGCACTCGACGTAATTATTGGTTGGTATCTTTGAGAACCACATGGAAGTTAGTATCTTAGAGAATTCCGAGCGCACCCTGAGTAACGGGTGAAGGTGACCACGGGGCAAGGCGGCACCGAGAGCATCAAAGTTGTAGGCCTTGAACTTCGCCGTATCCCATGACCCACCGAATGAACGCTGAAGATTTCCATACTTGGTTCTGTATATGGGTTGTACTCCAGTTTGAAACGAAGATCTGTGAGACCCAGTTTGTTAAAGAAAGCTCGAATCATAGCTTTCAAATGGCCCAGAGTTAGACCGTAGTCGGCAACGAGGCCTTCGACTTGGTGAAACTCAGCCAAATGAGTTGCATCGAGTGTTTCGTTGCGGAACACGCCGTCAATACTGAAGTACCGAGCTGGAACAACGGGTTTCTGGTTTGCGAGTGTGTACAGCATTCCAGAACTAGCCCGTGTGGTGTGAGTACGTAGAACATCTTTGGCCGCCTCTGAGAGGACCCACACGGACTGATATCCACGACCGCCGTACGCTCCTTGGCTGCGCACGGTACGGACACGTTCGATGTACGGCGCAGGAGCCATGCCGAATATCGGAATGAGAACGATGAGACTGTGCAAACCATCACAACCTACGCTCGATAAGCCCAAATCGTCAGCGACACAACTTGGTCGTTCCTTGCCGAAATACCCCCAGAAGTCGCCTGGATCGAATTCATCAACAGCTTCAGTCAGCTGTTCGCAGAGGCTTCAGAAATAATAGTTTGCAAAAAGTGTACATCTTCTTCTTTCGTTAGGAGCAGAACTCGGAAACGGATGACAGTACGCAACGCAGAATGGCGAATTTATAGAGATGCACCAGCAGCATAAACTTGGAACAACTACTCAGCCAAAGGTAACCATTACACTCAACTGCTGAGAGATGACAATCCGCCTATCAGCAGTATATCACAAAACCTTCAGTGCTGATCACAAACTGCTGTACAAGCATGCGAATAGCCTACGAAACATGAGATAAGGATTTCTTCCACTCAGGACGGCCGATGGCACAATAACAACGGCTGTGGAAGCAGCAAACACACTGCGGATGCAATATACCCCCCGTTTCAGAGGGTCTTATTACCAAGCGATCTTTCAATATTTGTCCTCTCCTCGCCAGCACTAACCCACAACACTTTTACCGCGGAGGCTGTATTGCAAAAGCTGATGTCTCTACGCAAACACAGCTCGCCGGGTCTCGACACCATTCGTCCAGAGACATTGGAAGCAGCAGCAAGCAAACTCGCAGGAGCTTCAGCTCAGCTTTTCCAGGGCTGCTTAGATCAGAATCACTTTCTCGCTGCGTGGAAAATTGGAATAATAACCCCGATTCATAAAGGTGGAAGCAGAACTGATTGCTCCAACTACCGCCCAGTAGCTCTTCTTCTTATACTCTCCAAGTTCATAGAATCTATAGTCACCGTTGCGCCGGTGTGATGACTGCAAAACTGCAACATCATCACTCCTGAGAAGCACAGTTTCCATCGACAGCGCTCATACACGACGAATCTACTAACCGCACCCAGCAGTTGAACCAAGTCAGCTGACGCTGGAGGGAGCCTTGGTGTGATCTACCTGGAGTTTTCGAAAGCTTTCGATCATCTAGAACATCGGATAGTGCTCGCCAAACTCCAGCATTACGTTATCAGCGACCCACTTTTAAGCTGGACTGCCAAATTTCTACTACAATGCAATTAGTGCTCAGAGTTCGGAGCTCTTTGTCGGATCCCATACAAGTAGTGAGTGATTTACCACAAGGCTCAGTTCTAGGTCCACTTTCGCTTTTGGTGTTTATTAATAACCTTGCAAAGGGAAGCGATTCAAAGTTCCTAATATTTACCGATGAAATCAATATCTGGCGCAGGATCCAAGCGAACGCCGACCAGCATCTGCTTCACAGTGACCCAGACTCGGTGTAGAAATGGTCAAACCAAAAGTTACTGCAATCTCACGTCAGTAAATGCAAGTTTGTTTCCTTCCGACGTCAGAGCAGCTACTCATACCGGCTCGGAACGGATGTATTGCAACAAGCAACTCTCGAACGTGACTTGGATGTCCTGGTTCAAGATGAAGCGCAGCCTAGAAACCAACAAGTCGGGCTGTTGCGACGGCCGTTTGTGCAAATAAAACGCCCGATATTTCGACAAATGCCCAGTGCGTGGTTTCGCCCTCACCCTAGCTTACTCACAATTGCATTATAGACATCGACCCTTGGTGATAGTTGCATTTTCATGCCCTGTGTTCTCAGCCGCAGTGGAAGCAGTTATGATAACCGAATAATAGACTCACTGGGCTTAGTGACGGTGAGATTTTGGTAGCCCAGTGACACACAAATCTCTTGATTTTGCTATCAGTCTAATTCGCTCCGTGTAGGACAACAGCCTAAATTGTGGTCAAAAAATGATACTACTTTACTATTAGAACAAAGGGGTTTATTTTCGAATGGTTTCCGTGTAAACACATTGTGACGGAAGCTCTAACTGAAGACTTATGTTTGTCATCTCTTCAGATGCAAACATATTATACGAGCAGTATGGCTCATGCCAGTCTCATGCTACCTTCTTCCTTACACAGTGTGAAGATGGTCCTGTCATCTGTTACCAAATCGAGATGATTCAATGGACATATGCTGCCGCTATTGCTTGCCCTCCATTCTTCCGTATTCCCGGAATAACTGGTCCATATAACCTAAGGTATTTTAATACTTTGCTTTGTCAATGCTTCTGTTTTCCCACACTGGACATACTGCTAATCAGTAAGTTTTCTTTGTCTATTGGGAAAGGACTTTAGAACAATCTTCAAATTGTTAAAACACTTGTGGCGTTTCAGCGATTTCTCGAAACAGAGTTTCGTTGAGATACTTGAATCCACTCACGCTCCCAGACCAAACACCTCAGATACTAGTCTTGGTGTTCCGTCCGGCCCCAAATGACCTCTCCGATCTAACAATTCTCCATCCGCTGGACAAGAGTGACTACTATGTCATCACGTTCCAGTGGACACGATGGCTTAAATTCCTGACCGGGGGACATGTTGTCGCGACTTTTGGCGAGCCGACCAGTCCAGAGTTATAGCGGCGGCAAGAACCCTGGCTAAGAATGTCGCGCTCTCTTTGGATCTCAACGGTGCAAAGCAGATACTACGATTCACGGTGACGCTGCTTATAGAACAATTCATTCCAAACCGCAATGGCAGGCCTTACTCCAAAGTCCCCCTTTGGATTGATAGCGAAATGAGACCCTTAATGAAAGGACGACGGAAACTATGGGACAACTTCAAGACCACAAGAGTAACATTAAGCTACACAAACTACAAGATTGTAAAGAAACTTGGCACCCTGAAAAAGTGCAACAAGCTACTTCATTACGAACACAGCCTGGCCACAGGATCACTGACCTGCCCTAAGAGACTCTACCTATACCAGCAAAGAAATGTCAAAACACCTAGTGGGATCCCCAAGCTACCCTCCAAGGAAGGCATTGTGCTTCACGATAACGAAAGAAGCCGACGTATTAGTTTCGTGGTACATTACTGTTTACTCAGTGGAGCACTCTCTACACAGAAACGCTCTGCCTACACGCCGTCTCTCTCTCTCTCTCGATCAAATCGAAATTAACCCTGGGGTAGTGCTGAAGCTCCTTCTAGAAATGGATTCGAATCCCTCTCCTGAGCCCGATGAGCTGCATCCCGTATTTCTTAAGACTATAGCCGAATACATTGCTGGTCCCCTCTGCCACATATTTCGCCACTTCCTCAAAGTCGGCTGTTTACCCTCTGACTGGAAAGAAGGCACAGTGATGCTCAAATAGAAGGACGGAGACCAGCAAGATCCGGCGAAAAGTCGCCCAATTTGCCTGATATCATTCGTTTACAAGACCATGGGATGAACCCTCAAACAGCCGCTCCAGCTACACTTTGAGAACTTCGACGTAATCTCCCCATCCCAACATGGTTTCTGGAAAGCAGGTTCCTGGGTCTCCAAGTTGCTAATCGCCAGAGAAATTTGGAACCAAACCATAGATTCCCGGAAACTCATAGACATGGTCTTCATCGACTTCAGCAAAGCCTTTGACGATATTCCTCAACAAAACCTGCTGCTCAAACTTTAGGCTGTCGGTATGACGGGCAAAGTGCTCTCCTGGATTGCCGACTTAATAAGAGACTGCAGCCTACGCGCAGAGGCCAATGAATGCACATCCGTCCCTTTGCTTTAACTAGGGGAGTTCCACAAGGATCCGCACTTGGACCAGAAGGTTGCAAAGTTTACCTAAATGACCTCCCGTTTGCACTCCAAACCGATTGCTTGATCTACGCTGATGATCTCAAGCTCTGGTCAACAGTATCCAGCCTAGACAATGCCGGCAAATTACAAGTGGCCCTGGATAGGCTGCACGAATGGTCCACCAGTAAATTGTGATAAATGCGCGGGTCTCCCAATCGGTCACACGCCACATTGGTGGATTTCTTCTCTAGAACACTATTCAAGAGCAGGATATCAGGGTTATCATATCCTCTGACCATAGGAGGCCCCGGCACACACTGAAAAAGGTCGTAGCCGCAAAGTGACTTCTAGGTGCCTTGAGAAGGTCATTCTCCCGAATGACTCCTGCGCTCTTCTGACCTCTATTTACTGTATGCGTACATCCCATTCTAGGATATCGGCAGCCAGCCATCTTTCCGCTCTTTTATTTTGAATGTTCCTTGAGAGTGAACTTCCAGAGGCATGCATTGCAAGCTATCTTCAGACTTCGCGATCTTTACCGTCTCCGACTTTAGCAGCTAAGCATGTTCTATTTGGAGTTCCGCCGTCGCCACGGCGATCTCATCTACAGTAGACGGATCCTTCTTGGTGAATTCGGCAACTAGCTACTGCAGTTCCTCCACCCCAACGCTGACCGCACGACACGAGGCCTCAAACGGAAGCTGTTCAAACCACGAAGGCTCCACGCTGGCTCAGACCTCACCGTGTACACCCGAGTGTTGAATGAGTAGAACAGTTTATCTAAGGAAATTGTTGACACACCTTCGGAAGAATGTTTCAAGAGTCTTTTAAACGAATAGTTTATGAAGTCGCTGGGATCCTAACGCTTCCATTGCAACTGCGAGGAACCCCCAAGGAATGTCGTCACACCAAGACAAGCGACTATCCCACCACGAATAGGAATCGACGGAGCTGACAAGTATTCTCCCCTCTGCTCTCTACAACCCAATGAATGCAATGAACACTCCAATGTGTATTATCTGAATATGTGTCAACCTCGTCCACCAGACAGAAGTACGAATTCATATATGCCCTTGCACGAGCGTACAGTTCGTCAGTTATCCCCTACCTAGCCCGATTTTTGCCAGACCAAACCAAAGTTGTCCAAGAAATAACAAACCGGTGAATGTTATGATGGTATTATTCATTTTCAACTATTGTTCCACCTTTTTGACTTACATGCTGTGTTGCTAAATGCGCGTGTGTTACGGCTGAATATTCACCCGTTCTGGGTAAATGAAGCACTTTCTTAACTTGACATTAACTACACAACCAAATAGCCACC